CATTTTATTTGTTTCGGATATAAAAAAAAGTGAAGAGCTCGTGAAAGAGCTCGTCCAAGGAAGTACTGCCACCTTACCTATTTCTACCGCCAAGCAGTAATGGTCACATTACTGTCTTCAATTTAGTGTTGTTAAATTTTTAGATTATCGCTCGAAATGTCAAATGACAGCCATCTAACAGCAATTTTTTTTTTGCTTTCTATAGCTATTTTTAATGGTTTAATCTTCTAATATTGCCGTGGTAATTATTTTTTCTTCATTAAACATTACGTAACTAAGCAGTGTTTTAATTTTTTTTATAGGTAATAGAAAATTAATGTTTAATTGACATATGTTATTTAATACAATTAGAAAGATGTTTATCGTTTGACGAATTGATAAAATGATTATTTAGTTCTAATATTTTAATTATAACTCATAACGTATAAATTGTATTGTATATAAATGAATTAAATTGCTGTATTAATAATGTCAATGTGAGACCGTCTTCCACAGTTGCTGTACTCTTGCAGGGCGTCACATATTAACTGCCCTATATTGTAAGTACTACCTGTAAGCTTCATGTGTGATATGCAATAAATAAATAAATAAATAAATAAGTTAAATAGTGCTTAAAATCTTAAATAATGCTTAACTAAATATTGGTAAGGGATGTTTAGTTGTTTTTTATTTGTAAGGCTGTTAGTGTTTAATGATTTTGCATTTGAGTGTAACTTGTTTACTTAATAAATTAATACTTTTTCGAATTAAACCTGAAATTTGGTAAACGAATTCACTTCCGTTTTCACGTTAATTAATTTAATTACTCATTTAGTTCACTATTCAGTTATTTACAGAGGCAAAATAAATAAGTTGCTTTCGGTTGGATATGTTGAAAATATTTAATTAAGTTTTCATTATTGTGGGTTACTCAATTTAATACCACCAGTACAGACGATTCAATAAAACGCTTTTAATATAGGCGAGACTCATATTTGCAAATTACACAATTATTTATGTTCATTACATTATATATTTAATGTCAAATGAACTTATAATTTATTTATGTTACATTATATATTACACCAATTATATTACTATTATTTAGTACTAAGTCTAAGCCCCAGATTTTGCGTATTGCCTACATAGCCGACAGCCACACATCGACACTGCTCATTTCATGATAATAATGAACAAATGACAGTATGACAACCCATCACCGTGCACCGGTTGGGCCTATTTTTCGCTATGCATCCATGTACCGATACGACACGTCTGCATGACAACAGACGAGCCTCTTGCCTTGGTGTGCGGGTTTGAACTCGTGGGAGGTGATCCTTAAAATCATAAACCGAGGGAAACCACCTTAATATAAATTGAATTGATTAAATTTTTTCTGGTCATCTGTTCGCTATTGCAATGAAAAAATTGATCTTAATACTTTAGGCATAAGGGTAATTATTTTTTGAAAGCCTGTATATCAGAACATAGTAAATGCAACAATAAGGTCATTAACTAAAAGTTTAGTAGTTTCGGTTTAATACTTGAAGTGACGTTTTACCGGAAGTGTTTCTCATTAATTATTTTCTGGCGTTTTCGTAAAAGTAGTTTAACCCCGAAGCTTAGATTTTGATAAATTTTCTAATCAAGTAATGAAAGTATTACGGGCGAATTTATAAATTCAGCAACAGGTAATTTAAATGTAACGTAAATAATCTCAGTAGAGAGTACTAATAAACCGACCTCATAAGTCATTCATCATGGAATATTTTCATCAAATTTAAATGTGACCACTATTGAGGTATCCTTTTTCCTACAAAAAAAGAATCATCAAAATCGGTTCACAAATGCCGTTATCGCCAAACATAAATACAAAAAAATCTTACAATCGAATTGAGAACTTCCTCCTTTTTTTGAAGTCGGGTATTAAAGGTCACTGTATTGACACTTAATATATATTTATTAAAAATATATTACACCGTTATGATTTTATGGAATGTTGGAGACTTCCCACGTTTTGCAAGGGTTATGAACAGAGATGGGAAGTGGGTTAAAGCCCAATCAACCCGCCCAGGTATTAGGGTTTTAAACCATTTTTGACCAAACTCGTGGGCGGAAACATTATACGCATAAAATAATACGAATTTGTTATTATTCATATTTATATTTATATTATTATATTCATATTTATTATATACTTATTAAAAATTTCGATGTAAAAAAATATTTTTAGACGATAAAAGACTCCGCGCAATACTTTGCAATGCTGTGGATTCTCAGTTGCCAGTAGGGATGCACATTACGATAAAATTTTATCAAAATCGATTCAAGTGTACCTATAACGATAACGAGTTTTTGTATCGATTAATTTCAATGCGATTTTCAAGCCAATCAATTCATTAGAAAAGCAAAATATGTAAAAAAGCAATAAACATTTTGTAAAATATCACATAATTTTGTTCAAATGTAATGAACATTGGAACAAAACTCGATTTACAAATATTTATTTATAATTAGTTTTTGCCCTCGTTTTGGGCGTTAATGGGTTTTAACCCGACTAAAATGTTTAAAACCCGGATGCTTGCCCATCTCTGGTTGTGAACCTTCTTCTATGTGCAGGTTTCATTACGATTTTTTAGTTAGTGGTTTTGTGTTGTGTTAGTGAAATTTATGAAAACAAAAACAAGTCCTGTTTGGAACAATTTTGTTGAGATCTTTATAGTACTTGCACTTTCGCTTCCGCATCCGCATCAAAACTGTTACAGTTTCCGCTAAAATTTACTTTCGACATCTATGTCCATTACGACATTTCTGTTGCATCAGTGATTCCTATCCATGTATATTACTTCTGCAGCGGACTATATCAATGGGTTCGGGTGGGTGCTAACAAAGGGTAAGCAAGACCCAAGTAAATGTACTTACTATGTAGTTTATTAATTTATTACAAAACACGTACTATAAATCTATCTATCGTGCTATCAATCCAAAAAGAGAAACAATAGTAAAGAAAGGGCGCCAAAAACAATCACATTTAAATTTAGATTTTAAATAAAAAACTAAAACTTAAAAAGACTATAATATATATACAAAAGAGATCTGTAGCGACTGCTGCGATGCGCTACAACTTCTTTGAAATTTAGTAAAATAATAGTGTACGTCGATTCCCTTGTCATTATACAGTTTCTGTTGATTTGAATGGCAAAAATCCGTGAAAATGATCCGCTTAGCCTTTTCGAGTTTTTTCCACTAAGAATATATTTAAATAATTATTGTAAAATACTAACATCTTCAAAGAGTAATTCTTCATTCTTTTTATTAAATCTATCTTCTCACTTCTCTTCTAATTACATAAATTTATTTAAATTTAAAAAAATTGAGTATTTGAATATATTTTTGAATACCATTTTAAACACATTTTTTTCCATTACAAGGATATCATCGGCGTTTTGTAGAAAGGGCGTAAGCGACTGTTGTAAAATATTTACGTCCAGTTTTAAATTCAATTTGAACACTAAAACTTAATTAAAACACTAAAAATTAATTGAAAAACAGTCGTTAAAACCAAAAACATGTCCCTCTGAAAAATTTTTCAAAAAGTCACTTACATCCTTTCCAGAAAAAAACCGACGATTTAAGAAAACCCGTATACATGTTTTAATATACAGCATGCCCATGGCCATTAAACATGGAAGGAAATAACTTTAAATATTACAGTAGAATATTTTGTCTCAGAGACACTATTCTATTTTAAAAAGTGAAAAATACTACATTCAAAGACTTTTAAAGTTACTTGCCTCATTTGAGAAATGAAACGTCCAAGTACGAAAAAAGAACATTATTTTAAGATAGTATCGAGTCTCTAAAGACTAACCTAACCTAAGTTTTCGCGATGGTTACACAAATGAAATGAAACAATTTTTTTAGATCTAAATCGTATATATTTTTTCAAACTAACCATAAATAACCTTTAATACACATAATAAACCTTTCCGATCGCCATCATAAAATTAACAGGATTTTTTCTCACATTTGGTCGGTTCAATTCCCTAATGAAGCAAACTGCTTTTTAAAAGCCTTTGAATGCAGTAATGCTGGCTTTTAAAAATAAAGTAACGTGTTTATTAAAGCAAAATATCCTACAATATTTAAAGTACTTTCCCTTCATGTTCCATAGCCGTGAGAGACCCTAAATAAAAAAAAATACTATAAACCACAAAATTGCATTCGTTATTTTCGAAATACAAGACACGTTTCTTTTAACTTCTTTAAAATTCTCTTTATAAATAAATAAAAAGACTTTATTCTTCAACAGAAAACGTACAATAATATTTAAGATAAAACAATGCTTAAATCTATGTCGAAGAAAAAGTAAAAGCCTCAGCAATTTGCTGGGTTTCACGCTTCACCTAGCAAGCATTTGCAGCTGGAGACACCGTAGCATATAGAGACGAGTATCTTTTGCATTATATATTATATAAATAAATAGGATGGTACCTTACTCACTATACACGTTATCTACAGAAATGATAACCCTTAAAATTTAAAATAACATACGCACCGACTACCGAAGATTCTACACGGAACAGCAAAGAGTATAGATAAATATAGGTAATACTCGTAGTTATTGTCATTCATAGGTTTATAAATAACGTAGACTTTAGTCATGATTGACCTATTCTGCCCTCCTTGTCATAACTAACGCATTTGCAATTTGGGAACTTTCGATCAATGTCTTGCTTAAAGTTCTTTTTCTTAAAAAAATATCAAGCGTTACTGTTCGGTGGTTTTGAGGGGTAACGGGTGCTGGCGAAATTACAGGCATATGGGACTAGTCAACTGATGTCTCAGGGTGACAAGCGCAGTGGCAGTGCACCTCAGATCTTTGGTATTTATAGCTCTGAGTAGCACTGCAACTGCTATGGACAGGCGTGTAGCTTAAGACCAGGCGCATATGTTCAACTCGTCACTTGGTATTACAAAAAAGAAAAAATAAAGAAACTTGCCCACTGAAGGTAACTTACATTGTATACTAAGGTGCGTGGCTTGACTGGGCGTTTCTCCAAGAGCGTTGGTGGCTCGGCATGAGTAGTCACCTCCGTGGTCCCTTGTCACCTTCTGTAGCACTAGGGATTTAGTGCTCACGATCACGCCTCCCACTACGTTGTGCACTACTTGCTTGTCCTGGTTGAAAATGAAACAAATTATAAAAATGTTCATTTCTTTTGAGTATATTGTACGGTAAACTTTTTATACGGTGCAAATTACTTATTATTAACCAAACTTTAACGTAACTAAAACGTAATTTTCTCAAACATGCTCGGAAATGTTTGCATTACTTTTAAATTACGAATACGGAACGTTTGCCATTTATGGACCGTGCGACTTTTCCTCGGTTAAGGCCTGCAAAGTACGTATGAAAATCCATTACTGTCCGCTGCTCTAAACGTCTAAATCTATCTAACAATTAGACAAACAACATTGACACTAAATACTTAGAGGATGGAAAAAAAATAGTCTAAGCCTTATTAGGTCAATGACTAACAATTTTATAGCTAACAATGTAAACAGGCCAAAGAAAAACTCATATAGCCAACTGCCAGTGTTCGTATTTGCGAGAATTAAAAATGTGCCGTTTACTTTTTTTTATAAAAAGGGGGTAAAATAAAATAGAGTGCTTTGGTATTTTTTTATGTTTTTTGCCCCATTTGTATTTTCGTTGCAAAAATGAGTTGTAGTAAGAAGAGCGATAACGAAAATACAGTAATAAATATACGTTCAACTACAATATCGGAAGTTCAGCGGACTGCTATTACTTAATGTGCTTTTTATAAGCACATTAAGTAATAAGCGGTCATTTATTTTTAAACAATAACCTCTTCTTTTAGCAATTGTCTAAACATGTCAAATATTACTTTTATATATAATTTTTTTAGCTCTTTTTGTTATATATCTTCCTCTGTTTCGTCTTTCATTACTTCCTCACATTGTTTGAGAAAAGCACGTGTATATGCCTCGGTGAGAACGGGGATAGCTTGACTCGTATTAAAATAAGGCCTCCCTGGCACTCGGCCTTGTAACTCACACTCCTCCTCCAATAACTTACTTTCTGGCCTCTGTATTAATGTAGGTACTATACATTCACTAATCATTATAATAATGATGTGACGTAAGAAGCTAAAGGCACGAGAAGCAAACCCATTTATACAAGAGTGACGGTGAGAAAATCCGAACAATTATAGTTGTATATGTATAATTGCCAATAAAATAATTTTGCAATGCTTGAATTGGAACTCGATTCCCCTGGACCTTGCACCAATTCGTCGCGTATGACATGCGAGTAAGCACAATTCCAGTCGTGCCTGTATCTATTGTAATGAGAGAATAGATGGTATTCATTGCATGCGTCTAATAGCATTGTAGTGAATACGGGAATTGTACTCCGATGCAAATAATACCTCTACATTATATAGATATGTTGCATTATGTTGGGGCATTTAATGGACCTATTTATAAACTTTATTATTCAAAAGAAAATAACATTAGCGCTTTAGAGGACGCCTGAAGTGATATTTTGCTACTTATTGGCACATAAACAAAAATTGGCGTCTTTTGCAGCGCTCCAAGAAGTAGATATTTATTGAATATTACGGACGTCATGGTATTAACACGATATTCATCTATTTTTGTCAAAATACTCCACTAGTTTGTTATAGATCGAACAAATAAATATTGCAATTAATATAGCGACATGTTATTTAGTTTTCTGGTAGCTGTAAAGTTTAGAAGCCGTAACAAACTTTCATAAGTCCTCACTGGTGGCGTTACGGCAAAAAACCGTTTCGACATATGTGGAGAAATTTGTAAGATCTACTGGCTCGATCCGCAGCTCAGGTGGTAAGTAGTAGCCACGTTGAAGCGACAAACACTGGTTCGAGTCCAGTCGGAATAACTATTTCATAAAAATTAATACGCTTGTAAGGGATGGAAGGCCGCTACAATTATTATCATATAGACGCTGGAAAGATAAAACATCTAACGTGCATTTGGAAAATATTACAAGAGAGCGATTTCAAATATTTTTTTAAGGAAAAAATACATAACTCTAATTTTATCTGTTATATGGAAAACTAGAAAGTTTCGGCTTTTCCATATAACAAATAAAATTACATTTATGATTTTTTTTAAATACTTTAAATCGCTCTAATACTAATATATACAAGCCACTGCTGGGCACGAGTTTCCTCTCAAGCGAGGGTTTAGGCGATAGTCCGCCACGTCGTTGACCCAATGCGGGTTGGGGACTTAAACGTTTTTTTTTGTAACATTGTGATCTTATTTTTGGAGTCCTACATAGGGCGCACTATAAGTTTCCGGAAGTGGCCACTTACATAAACAATATTTAAAAAGTAATTACAATGGAATTCTTTGGCTGTAGAATACAGTTTGTTTCATCTGACTGTCACTTGTTTTTACATTGTGGCGTCATTTTAAAAATTGGTTGTCTACATCACCATGGAATTAACTCGTAAAAAATTTCGTAGTATCATTTTCTACGACTTTAAGTGTAACTTAACAGTTCAGCGGAGCTTCGCTCGGCTTCAAACTGCTTTTGGCGATGAAGCATCATGCAAGACGACTATTTATAGATGGTTTGCAGAATTCAAACGCGGTAGCGTGAGTCTCTGTGACAAATTTCGTGATGGTCACCCGTCTACTGCTGTGAACAGCAAAAACATCGATGCTGTGCGCCGTATGATCAAAACAGACAGGCATGTGACATATCATGTGATTCGGGATCTTTAGGCATAGGCATGAGTCAAATACAATCAAAAGTACACAAACATTTGGGTGTGAAAAAACTGTGCTCTCGGTGGATCCCACACAATTTGACTGAGGCTCAAAAACCGGATTGCGTCACTAGGTGCAATGCCATGCTTACCAGATTCAACGAAGGGGCGTCAAATTTGGTGTGGGACATAGTAATAGGTGACAAAACATGGATTTATAGTTACGATTCCAAAACAAAGCAACAATCAACGTACGGGTCTTTGGAGATGAACCGAAACCAACCAAAGTGGCGCGCGTGTAGGTGCCTCTAAGCGGATGATTGCTTCTTTTTTTAATAAAACTGGACACGTGGCTGCTGTTACTTTGGAGAATCGTTGTACCGTGAATAGTGACTGGTACGCGGCCATTTGTATGCCGGAAGTTATTGACAAAGTCCGTAAAAATAACCGTAAACGCTGTATCATCTTGCACCACGATAATGGCACGATAATCTCACACGGCCCGACAGACAAATGAATTTTTGAAGGTGAACAACGTTGACCTTATGAGCCACACCACGTACAGTCCCGACCTGGCACCTTGTGACTTTTGTTTATTTCCAAAAATTAAGAACCAGTTACGCGGTCAATGATTTTCATCACCTGTAGCTGCTGTCGAAGGGTATGAAAAATATATTTCAGAGACTGTCACGGAGGAGTGGTATAAATGTTTTCAAAATTGGTTCATTCGTATGAAAAAGTGCATTAACGCTAACGGAGAATATTTTGAGGAACAATAAATTCATTTCTGACCGTTTATATTATTTTTTTTTATTCATTCCGGAAACTTATAATGCGCCTCACGTACAGTTATTCTCTTGATATCTTGACTCGCTGTTGTCTTCTTACATTTGTGCATATTATCTAACATTGACGAATTAACTCTGTAAGTAAATTATTTCTGGATTTGCTAACTCGTCGTTAGCACCCAATCCATATTCATACAGTCCGTTAAAACGTTATAAAATGATAAACGAGAAATGTTGTTTTTTTTACCCCCGTTGGGTCAGTATGGTGCACGATGGCGTAAATCCTGTTCTAAGAAGAGACCGACAACCAGAAATGGAATGGGCATACCCTTCCTTTATTTATTTATTTTTATAAAATGTAATTTCAAGTAAACCATCATAAATAAGTAATAAACCAACAATAACAAAAACTGAACACAACCGGCGTTGCTTTTGTTTGGTCTGTTTGTTTGGTGATACACAGGTATCAGACATTTAAAAAAGTTTTTCTATTCTCAACGCTATTGCACGAAGATCTATGCAATCGCTGTCATAGCGTCCATTAATAAATAATGATCTTGGTAGATAAATATGAATCTAAATTTAGTACGACTAAATGGAATATGAAGCAACTTACGCTCACGAAAAATTCCTAACTAGAATTTTAAGTAGCTCTGGGCATACAATCCAGCTCTGTGCAATATTCAGCAATTTTTGGTTGTTAATTTACCATGTTGTAAGAACAAAATGTCGTAAATGATACGTGTGTTGTTCAGTACTTAGTACTCTTTTCACCGCTTAAGGTTTTAAGGTTTATTGTGTTCATGAAATCAGCTGTAATGTATGTATGTATGTATAATTCAATCTTTAGTCAAATTTCTTTCTAAATCACTAAAATCGCATTGTCTGATCTTCCAAATATTTATAATAATATATCATTAATTTGACAATAAAACCCATGCCCAATATGTCATAAGATTATGTACAATTTATAATATTTATTTCTGTACTTTTGTACACTATGTAGCACACATTTTGATCAAATCGATACAAATAGCGTTCGTGTGCGTTCAGCTGTCGTGAGATAAGAAACGCACGCACTTGCGGCTTGACAGAGAACTTTAGTCAGTGTTTAGAATTATGTATTATTAGATATGTACAAATCAATGTATACGAACTTATTTGTGTTTCTAAAAATAATGCAAGAAGCTCTTTATCGACAAATAATGTCATCATCATCATCAACCTATTTATACTTCCCACTACTAGGCATGGGTCACCTCTCAGGCGAGGGTTTAGGCCTTAGGCCATTAGGTGCGGTGGCGGAGACGCAGATCTGCGTCAACATATATTGATTAAAAATTTGCGTGGTAGTGCGAAGCGCAGTGTGCCATACCCAATGGTTTGCCGCGCCCCCGGGGTCGCGGTAAGACCGCGTGTATCGCGCTCCCGCGCGGAGAAGTCTTGTCAGTGTGTTCGACGGCACGTGTTTTCCATACAAACTGAGGTACTTCAGTACAACGTTAAAAAACGCAGCTCCGCGCACCGTCACAGGGCGCGGTCCAGTGCGGTTGATCGCCTTAGGCCGTAGTCCGCCACGATGGCCTGGGGGTACCCACGTTTCCGGAGAGTTGTGAACCTTCTTTGACGTGCAGGTTTCATCACGATGTTTTCCTTCACCGAAAAGCTCATGACAAATTTCAAATTAAATTTCGCACATAAATTCCGAACAACTCAGAGGTCGTTTTTTATAATATCAAGTGACGGGACGAACAAGTCGTGCGCCTAATGGTAACTACTACACTACACGCGTGTCCATAACACTTGCCGTGCCACTCTGAGCTTTAAATCGCAAAGATCTGTGGGGCACTGCCACTGCTCCCGTCACCCTGAGACGTAAGTGCGAACCAGGATTTGAACCCATTTATTATTTTCATCATTATTATATATTCTTTAAATTTTTATTGAATTGATATTCAATTATTTTTATGTGAAATTACTCCACTAGTTTGTTATAATTATTAAATACAACGATCGAACACTCAGAAAAAAACCTTCGATTCGGCCGGATTCGAACCGACGTCTTCTAGCATACCATGCCAGACGCTATACCAACTAAGTCACGGAACCAACCAGCGGACATTACGAATTTTTCTATGTGCGTCCGTCGTATCTTTGTATTTATATTATATATTCTTTACAAATGCTATAAAGTTATAAAATACCGTATTCGCCACAATACGTCATTTTTTTGTAGAAGTTAGTTCGCCACTATACAGGACTTGACACTGGAGAAAATAAAAATCGGTTCTCACTACTGAAAGTATATTGAGAGAAAAACGCCTTGAATTGGAGAAATAGCAACCATTAAAGTAATTGCTCCTAAATTAAGTTAGGCGCTATTTATAAAAATTAATCTTCATGCGTGAACAGCCACCCTTCGAGGTGGATGCTTTTTTTCAAAATGAAATGGGACCACTATGAAAGTACCCCCTTTCCAACAAAAAAAGAATCATGAAAATCGGTTCACAAATACCGGAGTTATCGCGTAACATACATACAAAAAAAAGAACATACAGACGAATTGAGAACCTCCTCCTTTTTTGAAGTCGGTCAAAAAATGTCTTAAACTAATGCTTCCAATGCAAAATACACTCGTAATACATTGTGTTACAATTTAAGCATTGTTGAAGACCTACTTAAGTTTAGTTTCATCATCATCATCATCATATCAGCCGAAAGACGTCCACTGCTGAGCATATGCCTCCCCCAAAGATTTCCAGACCAGCCGATGAACAAATGGACATTAGTAGTACTTTTTAACCGTTGAGTTATATTCTAAGATTGTATTCTAAGATTCAATATTCTGCCAAATTTGGTGTTATATAAAAGCTATTTTACGATTGAAGGCAAATCAATAAATTTGAAAGAGATAACAAAGTATTAAAACAGAAAGTTTAATGTAAATTAAACAAATAACGAAACCTTGCAAAAACTGATATAAAATGTGCCATTTTCCGAAAAGCGTTAGTTACCATCTTTTTAAGGGACTTCAAAAATGAAGAGGATCTCAATTTGACTGTATTTTTTTGTGTGTATGTTACGCGATTATACGGCATTTGTGAACCGTTTTTGAAGATTTTTTTTTTCTTGGAAAGAGGGTGCCTCAGTATGGTTCCATTAAATTAAAAAAATAAATATATATCACCTCCAAAGGTGGCAAACTAGGGGATGAATCCGGTTTCGTGAACTTACTGGTAACCGATTGTTAAATTTTTCGTTTTAGTTTGTATGTACATGCAAATTTTGAAGTCGGTTACTTTTTTTATTACTTTTTTGAAGTGCTTATTTTCACAGCTGAAATGTTCAGTTTCACATTTCAGTATACAATAAAGTACTCTGTGGTTTCTCATCAAATGGTACGTTATGATACGATTTTACTATGAGAAACCGCGAAAGCCAAGTAGGAAAATAAGGTGAATAACTTTTGAACGTTGTGTTAAGAATGTCTTATCAATTTAAGCATTGGTTTAAGATCTACTTAATTTAGTGCAAGTGGACATTTGTAGTACATTTTAACCCTCGAGGGTGCAACAAAACAGACGTGATCTTATTTCCACTAGCGGTAATTGTACAATTCTATTTAATTCCGTTATGCAGCTCTATCTGACCAAATACAGTTAGACATTCCATTTCTTTATAATGGGATTCTGAGCAAATCACATGCTCGGTGTATTGAATATTCGATGTGGCAACCTTGTGATTGGGCCATGATAACGCTTCGATTATTCCTAATCTCAAAAGACGTTATGCATTTATGAGGTACGTGCAATTGTGTGGTTGGAAGCGGTTTTCATTTAAAATGTACCTTCTTTAGTTTGCTGACTGTAGTTTTGTATTAAATTACGTTTCTATACACAGAACACGTAACGTTATTGTTCGCATGGTGTATACAGAGCAACAAAATATGTGAACAACCAAAATCAAAGTTCAAAATTAAGTTTTCTTCAGCTTGAAATTTAGCTGTACTTTTTGTGTTACACATTGTATACTCATATTGTCAGTTGTCGATTTTCGGCCGAAACGAATTTTTCAGAATATATTCGAATTTAGAATTTCTTCGTGAGTTAGTTCTCTGGTGACAGGGAACATCTTTCAGTGTGATTGTTTTCAAAATATTTAGGTGATTTGATAATCACATATATTAAAAATGAACTTACATTATGATACCATGTTATCCGGTGTTCCCTTGGGTTAGCCTTGACGGAGCATTCGAAGTACACGTCATCTCCTTCTTTGATGTCATTAGGGTTGAGTGTGCTGCCCAGCGATAATGAAACTACTGGTGGATCTGTAACAACAATGCCAGTTTAATATTTGTAAAAGTCTTTGAAATGTATAGAGTGATTACAGGAAACAATTTGATAAACAGAGGGCGAAAAACACAAGCGTAAGCACATGCGATTTGTACATTTTACATACACATAGGACCTTTCGGCCAAGTTAAACCCGTAAAAACATATAATACAATACACTTTCGCTTTATTCCTCTCTTTCCCAGTCACTGATCCACCTGCCGCAATAAATAGTATTCAATCGGCAATCATGCTCTACCATACGTCAATTCAAAGCTAGGGAGGCTTCGGTGGCATATAAAAACTGCGATTCCGAGCTGCGGTAGACCCCACTGCTAGCTTGAATAGGGAATGTGGATTTATTGCCTCGTATTGCATGACTGCTGTCAGCTCCGTGGTAATTAGGACCATTATCTTTATTGCTTCTATCGCGTTTATCGCTAATGATATTGCGATGTTTCTTGTACTACTGACTCAATTCCCTCAATGGCACATCTTTTGTCTTGTCCTGCGTACCCCTATACTCGTACACGCGAGGAACTCTACAACGCGCCTAATAATGCTGTGTCAGTCACTGAGTACTGGTTCTCCCAAATATAAACATCAGAGTCGACACACGAAGTAGAATTCCATCAATAACAACAAGTTGAATATATAGACGTACATACCATCTCAACTACGCGCCTAACTCCCACTGGGGTAGGTAAATACCATAAACCTTTATTTGCTGGGCTCTTGACAACCTCTTTCGCTTTCTCTACTGGTATCATTTTCTCGTACATGCCCGTTTATTCTTGGTACTGTTAACTTGGCCTTTTTAAAGATATCTCCAATCCGATCGAGACGTGTTAGGTGCGGTCTACTTCTCTCAACGTTTCCATCCACATTCGTTCTATAAATTTGTGTAGCCAATTAATTAACATTCATCTTTTCTACATTGATCACTACATTATCTTCCAAAAAACGCTTTCTTACTACACGTTGGCAACGCTCAAATTCATACTACTTTTATGTTTTTTCTGCCATACTTAAACTCTTTACCGGGTTGGGAGCAGCACAAGCACAAAATTAACTTCACATTTCCATCTCTTGTCAATATACCCAGAACCAGATACACAACTTCTTACATTTGTTCTAGTCTCTCGCTGCCAATAATATTATCGCGTTATTTTTTACTTTCAATCACTATAGCATTCGTCTTACTCACATACACCTTCGTTTTATTTCTTTCAAAGGCTTCTTGCATTACTGTTACCATTTCCTGCAGTGTTCTGCTGCCTGCTGATGAGGCAAGAACTATTTAATCATCGGCATAAAAAAGACTTTTGACAAGTAACTCATTAATTCTTAATACGCGTTTAGTATCTTTTAGATCTAACAAACAATTGTCTACGAACAGATTGAACAGTCATGGACAAACTCCTGTCTAATACACCTATAAATTTTAAGCCATTGATGTATGCTCCATCCATTCTTACACAAGCACCTTTGTCTACAAAGTAATCTTAGTCGTATCTAGAGAAGTCTTTGTTTTACAAATTCGTATTGATTTTACATTCCTTTATTCTACTTGTTGACTGCCCCTATTTGTCGCAGATACTCCAAGTCAGTACGTCGTACATCTGCCATTCTTTGTAGTTACGGAGCCCTCAGACAACACATCTGTGGCATCTGTATGTATCATCAATTTTATTATCCATTTCTAATCTCACATTCCGTGTAGCAAAGCGGCTTTCTGCAGTATGTCTTTCGCCCTAAGCTTTAAGCCCTAAGATTTTTATTGAAATTGCTAACCATTAGTATCTCACAAACAGCTGAGTGAAAACAAAGTTCATCCAGGTAGAGCCCCACATGCCAGGACCAGATTATGAGTACGCTGAGAGCCAAATCTCAGAGTAAAACTGCTAGCTTACCATGGTCGCGCATCCATCGGTATGGTTAGATTGGTGGAAAGAGGATAAAGAATAGCGAATGAAGGGAAAAGAGAGTATGATTGCAATAAGAATGGGGTTATGGTAGAATACTATTGTCACCCAAAGTGTGGGATGTGGCAACCGTAACTGTAGCTCAGAACGCCGAGATCGCTTACCCGTGTATTCACTTATCATCCCAAGTAAGAAGAAAAACCCAAGTAATTGTTGGTTACTCCCTGACGATTTTGTATATCAATAATAGGTGGAGGCCTACTATGATTTCTTATTATTTGAAACCCGTAAAAAAGAGTAGGTAATTCTAATTAAGCCCGTAAGCTCAGTTGCCAGTCAAATTCGTAGTAAAAACTCACAAAACCAAAGTAGTTATTTGCAGTTCTTGGCTTTCTTGGCTTTCGCGGTTTCTCAAAGTAAAATCGTATAATGATGTGTTATTTGATGTGAAACCACAGAGTAGAAACCGCTGTGGCAGTGCCCCTCAGATCTTTGCGATTTAAAGCTCTGAGTGGCACTGCAACTGTTATGGTCAGGCGTGTAGCTTACCATCAGGTACACAACTTGTTCGTCCCGTTACTTAATATTATAAAAAAAAATTATACAGCGCCCCTAGGGGTTAAAAGAAGAAACAATATTTTGTATCCAAACATTTTATGCGATCGTTAGCGGTAGGTAACTGTCACTGTAATCTCATGGTACACGCACTGGGGGCCTACTATGAGCTTATAAGCCAGCCAGCCAAGTTCCTTGCAATTCACTTGACGTGGTAAAACTAAATCGATTAAATTCGTATCATGACCTACACAAACGGGAATGGCATGACAGGACGACGAGTTTTACTTTTTAAACGTTAATTATTGGCTCTGACTGGCTAGAAGACATCTAACAAGATCGAGATGGAAGTACATACTAAATCATATAAAGAAATAGACAGATGTACTTCCACGTGAGCGTTCAAGCACTATTAACCGATTGTGTTGAAAATGAGAATAATTATTTTTTTGTATAAATTTTATTATTGATTATACTTACTACGTTGTTTTGTAATATCGGCAACTTTTCAAGCATACTTTACAATTTGTCGTACGACAAAATTACATGTCATGCTTAGTCATTATCATTGAAATTAATAAGTTGAGTTTGTAATTTGATAACATAATTGGAACGCATCGTATTCGTACATTTTCATTGATTGCAATAAAGTAAAATTTTCACAATTTAAAAGTTATTTTACGATTTTCGCTAAGTCAATAAAATTATTATTTATTTAAAAATTGCAATTACATTCATGCCAATAATTTGTCAACAATACTTTAAAGATTGGCAACTCGAACTAAAATTTTCAAAAAACGCTCAATAGTTAATAGTATTTATTTATACTGTAGGTAAAGATAACAAATAATTATGAAACTGAAAACAAAATCTAAAAAAAGTTAGTCACGGAGTAACTTTTTTTGAATTGCTTATTTTTACAGATGAGGCCGCCACTTGCATGGCAAATAGCACGTCATGATACGATTTTGCTATGAAAGAAAAGGTGAACTGATTTCGAATGGGGAACGTAAACTGCATGGAGAGTGAATTGTTTTTGTGAGGTCATAGTACGAATTTGACAGGCAATCCAACTTGCAGGCTTAAATAGGATTGCTCTAAGAGCTCATAGTAGGCCCCTGAATGTGAAACTGACCATCTCAGCTGTCAAAATGAGAATTCAATGAAGAAAATGGCACGTTTTATCTCAGTTTTTACAAGATTTCGTTTTTAGTTAAATTTAAATTTTTATTTAACACCAAATTTGGCACAATATTGAATAACAACAATCTTAGAATAATATAAGATGCGTTTCAATTTTGTTATAAAATAGCAAATTCACTACAATCATTTCAATGCAACTGCCTCCGTGGCCGAACGGTTACCATGCCGGACTGCCACGCAGAGGTCCCAGGTTCGATTCCCGGGCCGGGAGAAATATTTGTATGGCCTACATTTATTTCTCTCGTGAGTTTGGGTGTAATTTGTGGTTGTCTATGTGTGTGTCCATGGCACCCGCGACACAGGGTTTCCCTAGTGCGGGGCTATGTTGAGTGTGAGCGTTATTATTATTATTATTATTACAATGATAATGACAAGGCAAGATGTAATTTTTTCTTTTTTTCAAAGCAATGTATGATTGAAAAGTTGTCTCTATTATGAAACAAGTTATTTTGTAAATAGAAAATGAAACTATTTTTTCGGACCCAAATCGTATATATGTGTTTTTTAAACAAACCAACGTTTCGGGTTCTTTACAGTGACGGCTGACAGGTTAATTTGAAAAAGAAAAAACAAACGATCGAGTTCTAGGTTTTCGCGATTGTTACGTGAAGGAAATGAAACTATTTTTCCGGATTTAAATCGCGTATATTTGTTTTTTCAAACAAACCAACGTTTCGGTCATGGTCAACCGTGCATAGCTATCTTTATTTTAGTATGATTTATTGTATAGCTCTATCTCGCTCTTCAAATGATGGGCATCGTAGCAAGCCGGAGACAATAATTAATGTTTAAAAAGCAAAACTCAACTTCTCACCGTGCAATAATCATTCAAATTTTTGGAGATCATGATATGAATTTAAGCAATTCTGTTTTACCAAGTAAATTGAACTGAAACTGCGTGGAACATAGCGGCTGTCTTATAGCCTTTTTTTATTATTATGATATCAAGTGATCGGATGAACAAGTCGTGCGCCTGGTGGTAAATAATACGCCAGTTGATAAAAGTAGCAGTGTCACTCAGAGCTTCAAATCGCAAAGATCTGAGGGGTACTGCCACTGCCTGTCACCCTGAGACATAAAGTTGACAAAGTTGATAAGTCCCATGTAGCAGTAGTTTCACCAGCACTCGTACCCTTGAAAACAGGACGCAGTAATGATCACATTATTGCTTGGCGGTAGAAATAGATAAGGTAGGTAGGCTCGTAGTAAGCTTCTTGTTATTAATAACACCCAATTTTTTTTAAAACTCTATTTCATACCGTAATTCTTCGACATCATCATCAACATCAACCCATTCATTATATTATTTGTAA